TGACCCCCCCTAGTTTAAGGTTTTTGGAGTTTTGATCCCCCTAGTTTAAAAGCCAGGTTTTTAGTCCCCAAAGTTTTCAAATTTGGGATTTTTGAAGCCCCCTCCATCTGGCTGCCCAAAAAGTGACATGGCACAGGGAGAGTAATGCCACGTATTATTTATTTATTTATTTATTTATTTTATTTTTTATTTTTTATTTTTTTTTAAATATTTTTTTTTCTTCTCCTCATGGACAAAATTAAGGTTCGAAAAAAAAAAATACGTGGCATTACTCTCCCTGTGCCATGTCACTTTTTGGGCAGCCAGATGGAGGAGGGCTTCAAAAATCCCAAATTTGAAAACTTTGGGGACTAGAAACCTGGCTTTTAAACTAGGGGGATCGAAACTCCAAAAACCTTAAACTAGGGGGTCAAAACTGCATTTAAGCCTAAAACTAATTAATAATAAATTTTAATTATTAAAATTGTAAGTTACAATTTTTAATAAGATTTATTGTCCTTTTAATAATCATTGTTGTTATGTATATAAATACATAATTGGTAGATGAGTTTTATATATTGGTACTATATATTTTTGTTGTAGGTCTACGTCATTTTTGTTATCATTCATTTTTTGATTTTATATTGATATTTTTATTTTTTTTTAGAGAAAAGAATATATTAATTCAAAAAAGTCGATATGCTACAAAGTCGATCCGAAGATTCAGACCTAAAACAACACCAAGCAATAAAAAGAGCTATCATCCTAAACTACAAGAGAAAACAAAACAAAAAACTGTGTTCTTGTTCTATACTTCTTCATGCACATATTCACTTTATCCTTTATCTCCCCTATATGCAGGCGATCTTTAATATTATTTTAGAATATCATCATATTCTGGTTAGTCAATATACTATATAATATTTCTGCAAAAATCCCTTTAATCTTCCTACACTTCATAGATTTTCCTCTTGTGATACTCGTAATCCAATCCATATCCAAGTCCAAGTTCTTGGGTCTTTGGTGATTCTCAATCCAGTCATACATTTGACTTCAAATATGCTTCACAAACTCACACTCAAAAGAAAGGTGTTGAAAGTTTTCTTGCTTGCCATAGTAGACGCAAACACCATCAGTTTGAATCCCAAATCTATTAAGCCTATCCTTGGTAGGCAATCTCCTCAGGGAGGCCATCCAGACTACAAAAATGGCCCTAGGGCGTGCAAGATTCCCCAAAATTAGTCTTCTCCAACTAACTTTAGGCTTATCCCCCCTAAGCATATTATACACATCTCTAGTACTATACCACCCCTTATTAAGAAAATCCAGCCTGGCAACAGAGTTCATCATAGCTACCTTATCTTTAAAGATGGCTTTCAAAATACATAAAGCATAATTAGGAGGCTGGTAGGTATTGCAATCTGCTCCCTTCATATAATAGTGATGTATCCAAGTAATCCATATCTTGTCTTTCTTCGCATTCAAGTCCCACAACATCTTCCTAATGGAAGCTTTATTCCACTCACATAAAGCAATCATGTTGAGGCCTCCCGCCACCTTAGGCCTGCAGATTTGGTCCTAGGCAACCGATGCTTTTCTGCTATTAGAGTCTTTGCCAATCCAGAGAAATTTCCTATACATGTCTTCAATGTGTTAAATGATCTTCTTTGGAAGAGGAAAAATCTGCATCAAGTAGTTAGCAATAGAAAACAACACACTTTTCACAAGGAGAAACCTACCAGCATACGACAAGAGCTTAGTACTCCAATGATTTATACGGCCAAGCATACAAGAGGGACTCCCGAATATTTGAAAGGGAGTTTGTCTATATCAAAACGAGTAGTAAGTTGGATAGCCTTTATATTCTCTTCCTTAATTCCCCCATAGTACACTTTGCTCTTAGGCACACTGATATTCAAACCTGTGGCTTCAGAAAACACTTTGACTTTTTGCATCAGGATCTTAATGGATTCCACATCTCCTCAGGTGAACATTAAAATGTCATCTGCAAAACAAAGGTTTATAATTTGCATCTTCTCACATTTGCGGTGGAAGTTAAAGTTGTGATTATTCTTCAACCCACGTAACACTCTATGCATATACTCCATAATAATCACAAATAAAAGAGGGGAGATAGGATCTCCTTGTCTCAGACCTCTTTGAGCTTTCAGCAAAGTAGATGGAGATCCATTAATAGAAAACTTATAAGAAACAATAGTAATGCAGACCTGAATCAAATTAACAAAAATCTGGGGGAATCCCATCTCTCTCATAACCTGGAGAAGAGTCTTCCATTCTACTGTGTCATATGCCTTCTGAATATCCATTTGGATCATACATCTAAGGGAAATGTTTTTCTTATTGTGTCCTCTCACCAGCTCCTGAGCAATCATGACATTATCTTGAATTTTCCTACCAAGAATGAAGGTAAATTGGCTATCATTTATAACAGAGTCAATAACCTTGCCCAATCTACTTTCCAGGATCTTGAAAATAATTTTATAGAACATACTGCAGCAGGAAATATTTCTCATAACTCTAATGTTCTTGGCTTCAGAGGACTTTGGTATAAGAGTCACAAGGGAGCAGTTGAAAGCTCTATACAAGGTAGCAGAATAAAAAAATTCATTGATGGCCTTACAAACATCACCACCAATAACTTGCCAAGCTGACTTAAAGAACACAACATTAAAATCATCACCACCAGGAGCTTTAGTATTCCCAATGTTGTTCAAAGCTTGCTTAATCTCTCCCTCATTAATAGGCTGAATCAATTTTAAACCATCATCTCTACTAATGGTTTTACCATTTCTAACCGCCCAGATATCAATACCAACTAAGGACTGAGTTTTACTGCCAACCATCTTAGTATAGAAGTTCACAATCTCTTGCTTAACGCCTTCATGGTTGGTCAGCAATCTACTATCTAGAGCCTGCAGAGTGTAAATTCCATTCTGACTACTCTTTTCTTTAATTGCAGCATGAAAGTAAGAATTATTATTATTTCCCATTCTCAACCTTGGCTTTCTGCATCAAAATCGATTCTTCCATTTGGTTTAGGTGGATGACCTGCTCAGTTTTTCTCTTGGCCTTCTCAATAGCATTTTTGTCTAACAAGTTCAGAGTATGCTGCTCCAGGGCTTCCTTCAAGTCTTGTCTAGCTTTCAAGAATTAGATTTGAATGTTAGAACATTTTCTGATCAGAGGCTTCAACTTACTCTGCAACTTCATCAAGTTAATCCACATACTGTACATCACAGAGCCCCTGATATTCTGATTCCAACAGTTAGCTATGATCTGCAAATATGATGGATCATGGGTGATACAATTTAGGAATTTAAACATATAGCTTTTCTTCCTCTCAAAATTTTGAATCTCCATCTTAATGGGGGAATGTTTATAAATGTAAGGGTTCAAAATGTGCACCTTTGCATCATGGAATTTCTGAAACCAATCAGTATTCCCTAACAAGTGATCAATTCTGGAGTATATAGGGGCTTCATCCTGATTATTAAACCAGATAAAGTGATGACTCCTAGTATTAGCTTCAAATAACCCTGTCCTTTGCATCATCTCAAGGTCCCTGAAATATGCCTCAGTGACTTTATTTCCTCCCAACCTATCTTGAGTTGAGATAATATTATTAAAGTCTCCTATGACAATCCAAGGTTGGACAATATTAACTCCAAGCTGCTCGATATCCTACCACAAGTTACTTATCTTCTCTTTTTGGTTGTAGGCGTAAATGATGGTGACCAAATATTGAAGAAGATTATACAAGCCATACACCTCAACATGAATGAATTGGTCTTCAATTCTAAGGACATGAACCTCAACTTCTCTGAAATTCCATAATAGCTAGATTCTACCATTATTATGATGACTATAATTATCAACAAAATTCCATTTATTCCCAAGCTTTTTTCTATTTTGCTCATACTTATTCTGCTTTACTCTAGCCTCTAACAAACCAATAACAAGCATATTCAGCAAAGAAATATAAGAACATATTTCTTTGTGTCTAGCCTATTTATTCATTCCTCTAACATTCCAAGTCACAATCATTGGTAACTACTACTCTCCCCTATCAGACATTCTCCAGTCCTCAAGAGGGTGAAAGCATTATTAAGCAACTATGTACCAAGATTATTTAGGGTCTTCAGCTGTCTTTTACCTCTATCTGAAGCTTTATTTGATTTCACCAATGTCCAAGGAGGATGAAGCGCAGGAGTATTTTCCTCCATGGCTGTTTCATTTTATACCACCAAGTCAGTTTCCTTTATGGTTTCCTCATTGTGTTTCTCTACAATTGGCTTCAATGCCACATGTTTCCAAATCTTGTGTTTTTGAATCCCTACCTGTTTTTTCTCAGTATAGTCATGACCTATTTTCAAACAGGTATGGAAATAATTAGGTTTCCATTCATACTTAATAGGTTTATCTACCAATTGCCCCTTGTGGTTCTGAATTTTTATACTCTCAATAAGCTTTTGTGTTATATCTACTTCAACCAAAACACGGGCTTATGAGGCACGCAACACCTTAGCAGTACATTCGTTAGTATTAATTGGCTTGCCTATAGCACTAGCTATCTTGGTGATACATTTTCCCTCATAAGTACAAGGGCAAGTTTGGCAGTGTTATCCATAGAGGTAGAACTCGCAATAAACCATCTTTAAACTCAAAATATATATTTTAGTGTTTCAAGAAAAGTGGCTTACCATACATGAAATACAGACCTTCGCCATAATTTGTTCCTGGTCATCATTGATTTTGCACCTTGCTATGAAATAACCTGCTTCATTATAGTACAGATCTGGAAGCGATACGAAATTCCAGGTTTTCTCCATGAACTTCTTCACTGCATTCATAGAGAGACTATCTCCAAGAGCAAAAAGAATAATTGCATTCTCCCAGAATTCGAGCTCATCAGCCACGTCCTCCTCTTCGATCTGAATGACAATTTCACCATTAACCTTCGTAGGAGCCACAAATCTCAGCGTCATTCCTCGATTCATGTTTCTATTACCTTGAATAACATCTACCCAAGGCTTTGACTTCTTCAATCCGTTCTCCTGAGAATTATTTTATGGTTCCTCTAAATCTTGTATTGCTTCCTTTTGAGTTGTTTCAATTACTTTTGCTTCTTTCGGCTTCTTCTTCGAGTCAGTTACCATGCTTTCTTTCGTTACAGTGTTTCTCTCTACCGTCTTCTGGCGCGCTGCCGCTCCTTTTGCCAGCCAGCCGACGCCCCTTTTGGGTTTCTTCATAAACTCTAGCAGAGCACTATTTTTTTTTTTATATTTCGATACTTTCATTTTTTTTCTTACTCTATGTTCTAACTATTATTTGATTTATATGGTATGTAACTCAACTTCTATTATATTAATTATTATTTATATTTCAGCTACACTTTTAAATTTTTGGTGGTACATCTTCGTTTTTCTACCTAAATAATGCAAACAAGGTATCTATTTTTTTATTTTGTATTGGTATTTTTATTTTCTTTTCTAATTTTTGACACCTATTTTAAATATTTTTTTAATTTATGTGGCATGTTTATGACTTAACTTACTATATTATATCAATTACTTAAATATTATAGCTATACTTTTTTGTAATAATATTCTTATATTATTTTGTTATTTATTTTCATAGATTTCTCTTGAGTGTAAAGAAGAAAGTAGCATTTTTATTAATTGAGAATCATGTAAAAAATGAAAATTCATGTAAATAAATGTCTTTAAATATAATGTATTGAAGTTCTTCAAGAAAAAGAGGAAACCAAAAAGAATTTAGGATTATCAATATTGTACGCGAGATTTGTTATTTACTTGATATGAGATTAATAAAAATAAATGATTTTGATATAATTAACCTTCATACATGTTGTTGTAATTGTATTATAGAAAAATTTAATGTGATTTTAGTGATTGTCAAAATACGTTATCTAATAAATTTATATTATTTCTTATGTATAATATATTAGTTTCAAATGAGTATGTAATATTTAATTTAAATAAAATTAAAATGATTGAAAATATACATAAGTTTATTTTAAAAAATTTATATTGTGATTTTTTTTTTCAAAACAAATTTTTTTTATCACAAAAACAAAATTTTTTTAATAATTAATTTTCATAGTATTTAGATCAAGTATTGATAATTGAAGTTATAAAACTAATAATTGCGTAAGAAACAAAAAATAATAATGATAGTGATAATACTAATTAATTAAGTTATAAGATTTAATATAATATTTAAGAGGTGAGAATAAGAAGAGTTCTAATAAAATAGTGAATATAAATAAAATAATAGAATGACATGGAAAGAAAATATGATAGAATGTCATGATAACAACATATTATTATATCAAGTTCAACTTTTAATTTTGGCTAAAAAATTAAAGATTTTTTTTTATGACTTTTATCAAATGATGAATACAACACATGCTTAAGATTTTATTTTTATAGTGTAGTTTTCTTAGTAGTTGAAGTTTATAATAGTAAAGTTTTTTTATTGATTATATTTATTTTTACTTTTTCAAAGTTAAAAAGAAAAAATATTAAAATTGTACAGTATTTAAAAAATTATTTATAATGATGTAACTAGATATATTTAAATCTTAACATATAAGTTTATGAGTAGAAATATATGATTATTGGAAATAATCAATAAAAATAAATAAGATGGTCAACAAAAAAATTAATGATGATATTAATTAGAAGGTATTTACAAATATTAGTATTGTATTTGAGATGTGAGAATAGTAAGAGATCAAATAAAAGTGTCAAAGTGTTTGATCGTTATAAATTTTATTTAAAAAGATTTTAATTTGTTTTCTTATTTTTTTCTTTCTAATATTTTGTTTATCTGTATTCAAACAATGCTCTTTTAATTTTTTTTCCTTTTTTTGTCTAAATTTTTATTATTTATTTATTTTTAAGAGTTACTTCAAGAAAAAAGTTGAAGATATTGTTGATTAATGATGAATGTGAAAATATAGATACATCAAATGAAGTTTATAAAAAAATATTTAATAATATTTTTATTTAATTGTTTTTCGCATTAAAAAATTAATAGTATAATTACAAACATAATTTAAATGGTCTACAAAAGGATTTTATATGCAAATAAAAAATTAATTAATAATTATCATAAAAATATATAATTTTATTTTTAATATACCTGTGTGAAGCACGAGTCAGCAATCTAGTATAGTAGGATATATAAATCTAAAAATGTCATGATGACAACCCTAACCACATGTCAACTTTGTAACAACTCTAAGCACAAATCCAAATTATGTTTTTACTAATTTACCTTTACATTAAAAATAAATAATAATAATAATAATATTACTAATAATAATAATATTAATAATAATATAATATAATATTCAACTACTCAATAATAATAATAATAAACAATATATAATAATAAAATATTAAGCTAATAATAATAAAATAAATAGTAATAATAATTTAATATCCAACTATCATTATTATAAATAATAATAACAACAATAATAATAATAATATTTAATTACCACTATTAAAAATCTCCAAATAAAAAATAACTTTATATAACTATTATAAATAACTTTTATTACCACTATTAAAAAAATTTATGTTTAAAAAATGATTTATTTATTTAAAAATAAAAATGAAATAAATGTGTCCTTAAAATATATTAAAAAAATTGTAAATAACTTTTATATAATCAATTTATAATAGAGAAGAAATAAAAATATATATAAATACAATTTATATTGTTCATTTATATAATATAACAAAAATATTTTTTAAATTCAAATTAACAAATTTATTTTTAACTATAAAACTGTTTTTGAAAATTAATTTATCAAATGAATTTTTTTATGTATTATATAATAAATAATAATTAAAGAAATAAATTTTAATATATAACATAATTATTATTATTAATTTTATGTATTATAACTGAATTTTGAGTTATGAATAATAATAATGATAATAATATTGTTCATATTTCTATTCCAATTCTAATTATGAATTAATAAAATAAAATTCATAAAAATAGAATATAATATTAATATTAATAATATTATATTTTTTATTTAAATAAAATAATAATGATAATAGTACTATTTATCAATTTCTTTCTGAAAATATATTATGACATAAAATATAAATCTATATGTCCGTTACATGTTACAGTTATAATTATAAATTAACTAATTTCAAGCAATAAATTTATATAAATACTATATATTTTAGTTATAATTGTATTTCATTGTGTTTTGGTTATAATGTATAAATACTATAAATTTATATTTCAGTTATCAATTTATACAAAACCATTTCAATTCCCCAAATCTCTTAATAGCTTATTAGTATAAGTAAAAAGACTAAAAACAACAAAATTCATCATTTAGTTAATTTTTTTTTGTAAGAGCTTTATTCTACCTATGAAACTTTAGATATAAGGTGTTTATTTCTCCATTTTCATCAGTTAAATATTTATTTATTATTATTAGTATTAGTTTAGTAGTTTTATGACCATTGTGTTTTTGCTAATATTTTTTATTTAATAATTTCAACTTCATATCATGTAATGATTTGCTCCTTAAAATTGACAGTTCAATAGTAGACCTATTTAATATTTATCTTTATTGAAATTGGTATTTATGAGAATTAAAGGAGTTGATGTTCTCCACCTCCCAAATCTTAAAAAATGAACATATGGAAATTTAATCGTGTATACAATAATGTCTATTTTTAATACACTTTGAAAAATTTGTTGTAAATGGCCAAAATTAATGTGTAAGAGATCTTATGTACGAATTTTTACAATCTTTTATATCTATAAAGATATAAAATTTATTAAGATATTTGAACGACATAAGCCTTATTGAAGTTACTCTTTTCATATTTTTCTATTTATTTTTATTTGACTCTTTATTTAGTGTTTAATAAATTTCACTTTTTTTTTTAATATTTTATTGTAGTAATTTTATTGCAATTATATGTCACTACTTTCTATAAAAAAATAAAAAATACACCATTACAACTTCTTAACATATTTAATAATATACTACAATGTTGCTCTAAAAGATTTGAAAGAGTTAGACCTACAAAAACATTTCTCTCACTTCACTAATAGCTCTAATTTATTTTCTCAATATCTTGTACAATATATAATTTGATTAATAAATATTGTATACAACCTTTTTAATTGATAATAAAATATATTTATAATAAAA